TGGATCCTGTGTCGGCTTCGCCGCGGAAGCAGCGCTCGGCCGGGTGGCTTTGGCTTTGCTGGAGAGTGCCCTAACCCCGGACCCGTGTCAGACACACGCCCGCCGCTCGCCATGGGATTGACGAATTCTTAGTTGTTTGTGAGCGCTCTCGGTTCTCCACTTGCTCTTCACTCTAAAGCCCACGTATATGAAATGGAAAATCGAGGGCTGTTCTGCACTCTGTGTTACCTGATGCTCAACGCACCTCTGCTGCTCATTGTGAACGGTGAGTACCAAACTTTTGCCTCTCCCCACACTAGTAACTAGCCGCTGCAAACGGAGCTTGCACAAGGGATGTGGGCAAACTTGGGTCAGGTGGGAACTGCTGGGTGGGCAGGGAAGGCTGGTGCCCAGGTCTCGTATGGTTAAAGGGGTTTCCTGAGCCTCCAGCATCTCCACTAGCCGTGCTCTGCGCTGCGGGTTTGGATCTGACCCTGCCAGCGTCGCCTCAGTTGAAAATTCCTGGCAATTCCTGGCAATCCCCCCTCGCTGACTCTCCTTCCTGTGGCGGTGCTTTATGGCTGGGGGCAGGGAGCGCTGCCCAGGGAGGGCTCTGTGTGAACAAGGTTGCACTGTTGTTGTTGCAGATGTTCGCGGTGGCTGAGGCAGCTCAACTTGCAGGGGTGCGCTCTGCCGCAGCACCAGGCTGCGGGAGCCGCCTGCACCCAGCTCTCCCGCGTGCAGCCCGTTGGGCTCGCATCCCGCAGCTGGCAGGAGAAGGGATGCTGATGAGGGAATGGGACACTTTGTTCTCATGCGCTGCCAGGGCTTCCTCGGAAGCAGGGTTGGGGCGTTAAGACCCTCCTCAAACTCTGGCTGCTGCTGGTGCTGCGGCAGCTGCCTGCTCGGGGGAGCAGGACCCATCAACCCTGGTGCTCCGGTGCTGGGTGCCGGGCTCGTGCTGTGCCACCACCGGGCGAGAAGCGCGTGTCGCAGTCAGCACTTAGCCCCCCAGTTGGAGCAGATCAGATTGCACCGAAAAGGACAGATCTTGTCTCTTAATCTCTCCCGTTAACCAGCCCTTATAACTCTTGTCTTCTCCTCTCAGCTACCTTTACTGAAGTTCCCAAAGATGTGACTGTTAGGGAGGGAGATGATATTGAGATGCCTTGTGCTTTCCGAGCCAGCGGAGCCACCTCTTACTCCTTGGAAATCCAGTGGTGGTACTTCAAAGAACCAGCCAGAGAACTTGCACATGAATTATCCATCAGTGTCCCTGGCAGCAGGAGCAAGGTAACGAAGTGCCACGAAAACGTGTGTTCAGAGGGTGCTAGAAACGAGCCCGCAGTGCCCACGTAGGAGAGGCACCTCTGCTGTGATACGTCTGGGATCAGGGTGGGTGCCCGGAGCTTCCTGGGCTTTCCCTAGAGTCTGCCTTTCACTCCAGGAGAAAAACAGGAGCACTTGAAGGATTGTGAACAGAAAATGATAAATATCCCACTGCAAGATTTGCCATGAGAATCTAGAGAGGCAGTCAAAAATAACTGTATTATAAAGTGGGGATCAGCAAAAGCTAGTGCTGCGCTAGGCTGGGCTGAGCTGGGAATCACTGTGAAATGCAGGAGAGACTGCTCGCTAATGGAGCAGCTGGAGGAGTGAGGGATACATCGCTCCTTGATACATCACAGCCGTTATCAGTGTGTGTGCGCAAACCTGGTATTTCCTGGGGAGCTGGTACACACCTGGGCCGTAGCTGGAACTCTCCAGGACATTTTAGCAATCAGTTATAGTAATTAAAATGCATGAAGCAGAGTTAAATCTTGCGTGTCCTCACCCTTCCCCCTAGAAAACAGCCTCATTTGAGGGCAGGCACTATCTTACCTTCTTTTCCAGCTGCGTTTCCCTGTCTCACCAGTTCATTCTGTAGCCCCCCACCCCAGTAAGGGGCCGTGCAACCCCTCGAGCTGGGCAGAGTGGGAGCTGCGGACGTGCCTTCCTGCAGCCAGGACCATGTCACCTTCTCCAGGCAGTGAACCTGCAGGCTGCTGCCGGCAGGAGACTCACCACCCATGCCAGGTCCCGTCTCTGTGGCGGGCTTGTTTTCCCGCAGCACTCAAATAGAGATGCAGAGCATATAGACACTGAGCTAATGTGATGCCGCCTAGCTAGGGAAAGCGTAAGTCAATTGTCAGACAGGGAAATAAATCGCTTGGATTTAAATGTCTTCTTTAACCTTATAAAAAAGCCGTGAGTTGCGTTCACAATAAATGATGGCAGGGCTGGCAGGGAGACGGATGGCCATCTCCCTGGGGGAGGCGCATCGGCGACATCTGAGGCATCGCTGAGTTTTACAGCAGTTGGCTCTAGACAGAAGAAGCAGTCAAGTCCGCATGCCAGTGAGCGATACCACTCCCAGGATGTCTTCAGAGCAAGGCTTTGCCCCCAGCAGCGCGGGATCCTGCCTGCCCAAACTCTTCACGCTGTGCTGATGCCGCTGCAGGTGGCTGAATATGAGCAACATCAATGTTTGTCGGTCTGTGGTCCATCTCGTTGGCTAGAGCAGCACTCCTGATAGCCCCAGCAGCCCGGTCCAGCTTCAGCAGAGCAGTGTTGTGGTCTGAGCAGCAGGGAGCTGCCCTCCCAAGGAGCAAGGACGGGGTGCAGGTGGTGCCCACCCATGTCCTGCTCCAGGCACTGGGGAGGTGGTGGGAGAGCAAGTGTTTTGCTGAGGTTCTGGCAGGCCGGCGTTAACATCTTTCCTTTTTTGTCTCTTTAGGTAACAAATAAGGATGCAACTAAAATAAGCGTAAGTGCAGCGCAAGCAGGGTGGTGCCCGTACATTACTGTGTCCCCCAGCTCCTCGATGCGGGACCTTAGCCAGTCTGCGGGCAGCACAGCAGGAGTGCAGCGCATTAACCCTCCTCAGTGTGCTGGGGCTTGGCCAAAACACGACCATCTGGTGCTGGTTTAGCCTCCACGTCTCATGTTTTGCAAACCCAGAGCAGCAGAGGGTTTGCCTTGCACCCCCATTTAGGGGGGTGGTTCAGAATGGGAGGGAAGCTCTTTGGCGCTTTCTCCTGCCCAGCCCCGTGCCAGGCTGCAAACCCCTGTGCCCTTGGCCACGTTGTTCCCCTGCCGCCAAGGTGCGGGCGCCTTAGGGAGAGGGGCGAAGGCCAGCGGGGCTGAGGGAGGAGCAGCCGTTCGGCTGCAGGGGGGCGCTGGGGGTGTCGGTGACTGTTTTGGCTGGGCGCAGAGCCGGGCGGGCAGGGCTGGGTGCAGGGTGAGCAGCGAGGTGCCTTT